ACCCCCCACTAGAGGTTCCCTTGTACCCGCAATTAAGAGAGCTAACCTTCAAGCCTTTGTGTGGCCAAAAGATGATGAACCAAATGCAGTCATCCCTAATCCAGTTGGACACGGCTTGTATTTGGAAGAGGGAGGAGTGCTTACCCCTGTTTTGTGTGAAGAACCATGTGCTCCAGAGTATCTTCTTCAACTAATTAGATGTTCGTGTCTTAAAAATCAATGTTCACCACCATGTAAATGTTTAGCAAACAATATGCCTTGCATAGAGTTGTAATGCGGACCAATCAACTTGTGATAATTTGCATCCGCCTGATTTTGCCGACGAAGGTAGTGATGAAGTTGATAGTGATGATGTCGATTTGTAATTTTATTAATATACATATATGTGCAAATGTATCACTTAATGTTTTTTAAATACATGAACTTATATAACGTAGACCATATTTTTACCAAAATAAAATAACACAATATTTTTTTCACTTTAAATCCAATCAGCAACGAAAATATTATTTTTTTGCAATACTTTCAAGAATTAATTGTTTTCCTCTTTACATTACCTTTCTAACAAGCTAAAAAAAATGAAATCAGTTAAATAGCGGCGACGATAGCGCACATTGTCTATATTGCTATGGCGGCCACTTTGTTTAACGCACTCCGAACAAACGCATGTGACGGTGTCACCATAAAAATTAATGGATTGCATAATTTTTCTGATAAAACAACTCCACTGGCACCTTCCCTTCATGAAGTTTTCCACGGGAAGCTGTTTTTATACGTTGTGCTCCCCAACTAGAACTTAGGATGATTTTCCTTGATTTAAGTAAGAAGAGTCTTCGGACTGTTACCGGGTTTCTAATAGGACTGACTCCTCAACCATACCTCAGCAGATTGAAGCTGAGAAATAACGGCGAATGCAGATTCTATGGAGAAAATGGGAAAACACCAGAAACTTATCACCGAGACCGTATGATGAGTTATAACACGTTATAACTGAAGAAAGGGGAACACACAATAGATCTGTAACGTGGGGGTGATTAACCCCCTCCTAAACATTCTACATTCTTTAGGATTATACATGCATTAGGTTATACATATGTATTATAATGTTAAAAAAATATTAATAATAATATAAAAATACACATACATGCTAATAAACTACATAGTGTTACAATTATCCTTACTAATATTATAAACGCGAAAGTTTGTATGTATGGATGTATACATCTTTGTTACTCTTTCACGCAAAAACTACTGAATGGAGTTTAATGAAACTTTACAATAATACAGTTAATACATCAGAATAAGACTATAAATTATGGGTAGTTCGACACTTCGGTAGTTGAGTAGTTCGGTACTTCGGTAGTTAACGTATATCTTAGCCACAGCAACGCGTAGACGGGTCTGCTAGTAGTTTCATATAAAAAAACAATACAGTGAATTATTTAAAAAAAGATATACCAGAAAAAATTAAATCTTATAATACAGAGCCTGGCAATAGTTCGTCAGGCACCTGTAGCTCATATAATAAAAAAGTTAGGAATTTTGTTTAAGTGCAGACCTAAAGTATTTATTAGGATGTATTTCAGGAAAATATTTTAGCCTGGTTCAAGAAAGTGTGTGAGGATTGGGATGATTTTTTTAAATGGAACACCCTATATATTATTGCATTTTTGGCTTCCTTTTTGATCAGTTTACATAATCCTAAGATATTATTAAATATGTTTTAATAGTTTCAAAGATATTAATAAATAAGTAAAAAAATATTTTTTACAGACTTCTTTAAAAAAATTATTAAAAATACAAGAAATGTCCTGAAATCAAAACTATATTAGGTATTTAGTGTAGTGGGTATGTCCTTACTTTGCTACAAATATCGTAATCTTGAACCATACAGGGTGTATGAATATATAAATTGTATGCCAAACTTTTCAAATTATAAAATAGTTTTTTTTTCGTTTTTTTTCTGAAATACCCTCTATATTATGTCTCTATTAGATGGAGAATTAAAAAATGAACATTTTTTGTATTTTTAAAGTATATTAAAATTTTTAGCGGTTTCTTAAATATTCGCGGTTTTATTACATATGGCTCCTTCAGCGGTAAAATACCAGACAAAAATCATTGGGTGGCTTTGATAAAAAATTAGTGTTTTGAAAACCCCATATGTAAAATAATACCACGAATATCCGCAAAACCGTTAAAAATTCTGAAATGCTTTAAATACAAAAAGTGTTCATTCTTTAATTCTCTATCTAACAAAGAAATACTATACAGGGTGTTCCACTTAAAAAAAACGAAGAAAAACTATTTTCTATTTTAGAAAGTTTGGTATACAATTTTGAACACCCTGTATGATTTAAGATTACGATATTTGTAGCAAAGTAAGTACAGACCCACTACAGTAAATACATAATATAGTTTTGATTTCAGGACATTTCTTATATTTTTAATATTTTTTTAAAAAAAGACCGAAAAAATATTTTTTTTAGTTAGGTATTTATTAATATCTTTGAAACTATCAAAACCTATTTAATAATATCTTAGGATTATGTAAAGTGATCAAAAAGGAAGCCAAAAATGGAATAACATAGAGAGTGTTAAAATCATCCCGATCTACTCACACTTTTTTGAGCCATCCTGTAGAAGGTCAAATATTTTCCTGAAATACATCCTAATACATACCTTAGGTTTGCACTTAAACAAAATTCTCAAACAAAAAAAGTTTTTTATTCTAGGAGTTACAGCTGCCCGACGCACTAATGCCGAACCCTGTATAGTATGTGCCTTATGAACATACGTTCTTAGCACCTTAATAAAACTAGAGATGTGATAAAAATACAACTTACAACATTGTATACAGTAGGTACCTATTGCAATATTGTATTTTGTCCAATTCTATATCTATCTATATATACAGGGTGGTTCAAACTGTATTCCGGAAACTTCGGCAGCATATTCTGCAGATAAAAATAATATGTATGTCCTAATAAATGTAGGTCCTAAAATGCTTAGTTTCGGAGATACAGCCCAAGTAGCATTTGGACGTTATCTAACGTCGGGTATACGTCGCGTTCAATAAACCCGACGTCAGGTACCAACGTCGGTTCGACCACCTGACGACCCTTATTTGCACCTAAATGGGGAATACAGATTCGGGTCGCCTCGACGTCGGTATCTGACCTAATAGGGAATGTAATCCTACCAATTACCAACGTCATATTACGTTGGATTTTAGTTACTTAAAATTCGTCGCTAAGCACTTACGTTACGTTTGGTTTCAGATTCGCTACCAAGAATACATAAAAACCTAACCAAACTACCTAATTACAAATGGATTCATAATCACTCCTCGAATATAACTATAAGTACCTATCTAATTTCATATTATAATAATTCTGAATCATTAATCCAGATATCAGTTTTGTCAACGGAAGTCACTTTTTTTATATATCTCATTAAAATACTCCGGAAAACAACGCGCGCCTTCAAAATTAGGTAGATTTATGAAATAAAAATATCTATAGAAAAGTAACTCGCAAAATATTTTTTTTAATTTTCTACCTGGTTTACTCATAAAACTGTACTGTGGTTCCCCCCAAACTCAACCTTATCAATATTATTCTACTAGAAATCGAAATGTGAATATAAATTTTAAAAACAAAAAACGATTTTAAAATGGCTGACAATCTGATACTTGTTAAGAATGGCGGATTTCTGTGTCCGACTTAATATGAACTACCAATATACCAATTCCGACCGGGTCTCCAACATTAGTCGTCTCACACGACCGAAGTCATCAAACCGGACGACCGGCAATCGTATTATGACGTATATAATTCCAACGTACGCCACGTAACCTCACTTTGCGTATCAGTGATTTGTGCAACTATATTTTAATTTTTGTTTTCTCCTTAAAAAAATGGGCAGCCACTTTTTTAAGCCTAACCTCACATGTGGGAGGAGGATGGGGTCTGCTGGTTTCCTAAGCTAAAAAATGAAATTAAGATGCACCAGTGTAATGCAGCATCTCTTCCTCCGGATAAAAAGTATTTATGGGTTTTTACTATTATTATTTTGCAAAAGCTAGAGGTAAAATGTAGATGAATGTCTGTAAGGTGTCTGTAAAATGTAAGATGTCTGTAAAATGTAGATGAATGTCTAAATGCCTTTTTAGTGTTTTTTAGGCATAATAAAAAAATTAAGTATGTTTACAAAAACTTTTTATTAGGTTATATTCATTATGTTCATTGGTCGCAAATGCTACTTAATGGGTTGTATTTACGGACGTAAATAGAGATACGTAAATTAGGTTATAAATATGAACATAAAATACAACAAAATATAATTGGACGTTATTTTAGGGATTATCAGTGAGACGTATCCTATTCGGACAACGGGTAGACGTCGGGCTAGTTCAAGTATATGTACGTCGTGCAAGCCAACGTGGGAACGACGTTGGGGAATTAATAAAAATGGTACGATGTTATTTTGTACGTCGACAGATCGTTGGATTTACCGACTCGGATCCAACGACGTCGCTTTTAATACGAAAGCGACGTCACCGGTCGTATCACTAGCACCCGACCTAAATTTGCACAAAGTCTGACGTCGCTTCAGGTCAGATTTAGTTCGAAGTCAGATAGATGCTACTTGGGAGGGCGTAGAAGTTTCATTTTTATTTCGATTTTTTCCAAATAATTTCTGATGTAACATCAATATTAAGGTGGCGCCCTCTACTAGTAGGAGTCATATTGACATCAAAATCAAATTTCTCATGTCAAAAAACTCCCAGACACCAATTTTCATCCAAATATTGACGTCACTTCAGAAATTATTTGGAAAAAATCGAAATAAAAATGAAACTTCTACACCCTGTATCTCTGAAACTAAGCATTTTAGGACCTACATCTATACGAACTTTTTTATTTATTTTTATCTGCAGAATATGCTGCCGAAGTTTCCGGAATACAATTCGGACCACCCTGTATATATTCTGTACATTGTCGCAACAAAAGAAAAAATAAGTCAATAGAACTGTTAGTAACCGAACTGTCGTATTCGAAATATTTGTTTGATGAAATAAAAAAGACTATCGTCTGACGTCTATCAACGTTGCTGCGGGGAATAATAACTTCTGGGGATGTTTATTATAACGCCCTTTTCATCTTTGAAACTAAATCCATTTGTGTTTTTGCACTTTTTACCACCAAAATTAAGCATTTCTCTTATCTGAAATCCGCTAGGTCGATTATAGACACATTTGTGTCGAATTGGCCTATATCTAACCAGTTGCGTATGGAAACATACTCTACGTCTTGTTTGTAAAGTGTTTGTATGTTTTTGTGAATATGCTGGCAACAGAGGTAAGACGTCAATTCAGAAGTTTGATATAGATAGTAATACTTGGCTTTGTTATGTTTGTATTTATTATTCCTACGTATCATTTTTTCCAAAGCCAAGTAAATCAGCTGGGGATTTTTTTTCAATATTATCCCTAAGTCCGATTTTGGCAGAAACAGCGAACCTTTGTATTTACCATACATGTGTATTCTTCTTAGTTTGCACGAGCTGATTTCTTTCAAACCTGCTAGCAAGAACTGCAAATTGATCTGCTTACTCTCAACACTGCAAAACATAAAATTAAGTCAAAACTATTATCTTAAACTTTTTGTATCAAACAAAAAATGAATCAGTAAGATATATTAATAGGATATCATTTATTATACATCTAAAAAAGTAGTGATGGGATCATCTAGTGAAAAATACTCGGTCACCCGAGTATTCATATCTTAGGTAAGACTCATTTTATTAATAATATTTTTGCTGATCCTCGAGGATTATTCGGCACACAACTAACATCGGGTGTGGTGTACCGTCGCTGCTTGCGAGGATACAGGCGATTTACGACCTATCCTCAAACCTTTTTTAAAGAGGATAACCGTTTAATCACTTGCTTGCATATCGCTTTCAATAATAATAGGTTTTCAGAGTAGTAACCTGGCCATTTTTGAACAGAAATACATTACTTATTTTTGTTTCGTTATATATTTCGTCGATATATTAATTATAATATTTATTTAAATTATAAAGATTTTTTCTCTATACTTTTTATTTAAAGATTTATAGTTTTTTAACTATTGATATAATAATAAAATGTTGTTTTTTCCCTAGATCATATACAGGGTGCTACAAATTCGAGGTACGAGCTTTGGTATCTCTGTAACCGTAATAGATACGAAGATGGTTAAATTGGGGCAAAGTTGCGCCTTGAGATGTTCACCAAGATAGCATCAAAAAAGTTTTAAAAATTTCAAGAATTGCTGACTTTTTTTCGAAAAAACGTTTTTTTTGAAAATCAATTTTATTTTTTCTTCTCGTTACTTTTTAGAAAATCAAATTTCACGTTCGCGTTCACGTTCACCGCCGTACCTATATGTAGTGAGCTATTTCTGTGGAGCTATCCTGTAGATATACATAGGTACAAATTAAAAATGTGAATTATGTATACCAAAAAAAAACATTCTGAAATATTTACCTACAATATTTAAACTTAAACAATAAAAATGTATAAATACGTACTACCGATCCAATTGCAACTTCAACTTTGTCTAAAACTTTTTATTTTTAATTTTAATTCTATTATTTTTGTAACTTGGATCGGATAAATCATATAGGATTTTGTGTATTTTTACAGCCTTAATTAGCTGCTCTGTTAACTCCATTTCTAAATTGCAACAAGAAAAAACACAAAATAACGGGAAATTCCTGTCAGTTGGGTCGCGATCACGCGATCAAACTCGACAAGTTGAATCCATGGTACAAAGAATACAAGGTATGATATTGCGCAGGTTGGTCGCTACGTCACAGGTGATAACAGGCGCTATTGGTCAGCACGCTCCGCGCGCCAGTTCAAATCGTCAAGATATTGTTATAAACCTGTTTTTTTTTGTTTATATACCGTCATTGAATTATCGCTAAGCAAGTTACTGTGGAGCAGTGCATAAGGAGTCGGGCTAGGAAGCGAGAGACCGGAGTTCGAATCTCGGCCGGAACATCACTTTTTATTTATTTTTTTAAATACTGTTGTATTCTATAGTTTATTTTTGTAGTATAAAAACAGAACTATTTATTCTGTTATTTTTAATCTCCAGTATTAATATAAATTGATTGTTAGTACAATACCTCATTTAATATAAAATAATATTCTACTTTTTGAAATGTATCAGGCCCTAATTGTACCTAAAAGTAATATATTTTTAGTGATATACCATATTGTAAACTATTTAATATTTCAGTCACTTAAAAAGTTAATTTGCATTGAATAATTGCCTACCATTAAAGGAAATTTGAGCTATATAACCCTTGATGGGCATATTCTAGGTATGCAAATACTTCCTTTTAAATTTTTGGGTGTCGTTCAACCGATTTATTCTCAAAACCAGAAACATCTACATATAAAAAGAAGCACAGGTCACTAATTATAATAAACTTCACCCTTGGTATTACTTCCACTAATTATAGTAAACTTCACCCTTGGAATTACTTCTATCACAATTACAATACGTTCATCTGCATTGGCATTTTCTACTTTTCGATGGGAAACAATAAACTTCCCAACATTTTTAAATGATGTAACAATTCCTCTTGTGGTTACTTTTCCATAGATATCCTCATCTCTGTCCTCATGTGAATTCAGAGGCAATAAAAATGAAAATTATTTACCATAAACATCGCAAACTAAAAACCTAATAAACAATTTTATACCGAATATAGAAATAAATGTAGTATTTTTAAATATATTTTTGGAACTGCTGGTTTTAGTAATTATTAAATTAAACGAACTAAAAAGTCATAAAAATAAACAATTCTTAACCATAACCTCAAAAATGCAGATCTCCTGTCAACTTTCTTTATTTTTTATTTATTCATTATTTTCGTAGTGACGTCACAGGTGGTATGCGCGAACTGAACGAAATTGGAGCCGCTATCGATCATACCTTGTATTCTTTGTACCATGAGTTGAATCTGATTGCCACCGCAGAATAGAACGCCGCCATCGCCAGACCGCTTCATCACGGCATATAAATCACACGGCAGGCCAACTAGCTTACTTGTGTCTAGCCCTAGCAGGCAACTGTTAAGCCCGACTAATCACGTTAGAGTTTTTGACAAACACAAATGAATTAACACACTCCAAATAACCACCTAACCAACCTGATTGGTCAAGCTTAATAGTTGACGGCTAGGACTAGACACTTCTAACTCGCTTTGGCGGGAACGATACGCGCATACCCTTGCGCACGCCGCCATTATGGGTGCCAGCGACAGAAATTAACCAGTGTCGTAGTCAGTCGTAGTCTTTGTCATCGACAACTTACAGTTACGGCAGCTTTGAGTCAGTAGCGTGCGGCTTAATTTATTTTATTCTTTTCTTGAGTGATATATTTTGTTTTTTTTTAGTTTTATTTTTGTTTATTGTGTGATATATTTGGTTTTTGTAGTTTAGTAGTACAATGGAAGTCCGAAATTCTTTTAGTTTTAATACTCAGTCATTGTCTACGGCATTCAAAGTAATTTTTATTATTAGGTATCCTGCAAAATGACAAACAAGATTAATTTCTAAATTACTGTTTTTCTGATTATCCGTATCTATTTTTAATTTTTATGGATAGCTCATGACAATTCAAAGAGAAAAGAAAAGAGGTCTCGTTTTTTTATTAATTATTAAGTTCTACCGTTTTTAATAAGATGTTTGCCAGATCATTTTGGCAATTTTCAGTACCCGTATGTAATATTCGGACACAAAGTTTTTAAATGTTCTTCTAAACTGGATGAATTTATTCTGGATGGGAATAATGACAGGTTTACATGATATTGGAATTAGAAGAATTACAAGATAAAGTTGTACCAGATTTTTATGAGTGCAACTGTACACTCAAATCGCTTGTCGCTAAGCTTTTATATAATATAAAATTGTGTAATGACATAATAAAAGTTTTAAAGAAAAAGCTTATTTTTTCTTTTTAATGTATTTAAATAAAAGCTTGTTTTTAAAAAGTTTTTTTTCATAATGTGAGACAAATAAAATGAAAACCGACTATGGGGTAGGGAGCATCCAATATATCGATTTTTATCAAAATCGGACAACTTTGAGATTTTTTTGACAGCTGTCAAATTTGACAGCTCAATTTTTTTTCTTTCCTTTTAACCCATGGCCATCCTATATATCGATTTTTATCAAAATCGGACAACTTTGAAATTTTTTTGACAGCTGTCAAATTTGACGGCTCAAATTTTTTTTGACGGCTTGGCTTTTAAAAATATAGCCAAACATTTATATTTAAATTCATCAGTTACTTTTCTTCCTTTAGCTGATTTGTTAATTTGTGCAATTTGAATATTAACAAAATTTGCTATGTCTATTGATGGACATAATTTGTACGTAGCCTCTTTAGATTGTTCAATAGATAATTTATTGGGTATCTCTTTAATTCTTGTTTGTAACTCCTGGACTACTGGCATGTTTTTTAATTTTAATTGTCTATTCTCTAAAGTTAAATGTTTAATTGATTTTTTCATTTTTACTTTTTGAGGAGTATGCGCAGTTAACGATTCATTTGTTTAGATAAAAGTATTGTGTAAATAAAATTCAGTTTCAGTCAATTACAGTATTTTTTTAATACGACCCTGTCTAGCAAAAGTTTATTTTCTGGGAAATTTTTTGATACATTTTAATCCGGCCCTGACTCGGCACCCATAATGGTCAAATTTTATAGAAATTTTAAACAATGGGATCTGGGCAGAGTTAGCCTGCCGTGTGATTTATATGCCGTGGCTTCATCTCCAACATTCGATCGCGCCAATGTATGGCCAATGTGAAACGGCTCATAATATGTATCCTTCAGCAAATTTTGGCCGCGGCCGTGATCACACCAGTGTGCGTACAGCTTTATAATTAGAACTTTCACACACTAAACACTTTCTAAGTCATTTTTACGAGTATTTAGAAAGTGTAACCACAGAATATTTAGCTACGCAACAGAAGCCTCGTTACATGTATAAAATTGTAGGTATCAAAAGGAGACAGGCTTTTAAAGCCTATCTCCAAATCAGATATTTTGATGCGGTAGTTTCGCTACTACATAATAGAGGGCGATAAATTTAAAAGAAAACAGTTTTCTACAAACGAAATTTAAAAGAATTTTGTGCAGTGTTGCCATTGTGTAATTCATATTGTAATACTTCCTGATAAAGCCTAACGGGAAATTAAAACAACTTTCGGTGCACGTCATCAACGACACCATGCGTCGTCTTATGGAGTTTGCTGGTGGTCGTATTATGATGTGCAACCAAAGATATTTTAATTTCCCTATACCTTCAAATTTGCTATATCATTTAAACATATTAAAATAGATCAGAGCTCTTTTTTCAAACGTTTTAAGTATTTAACTTGCCATGTTAGTTGGAGTTAAATCTTACGAGTTGAATTACAATCAGTTCCTGACGTTTGATTGTAATTGAATCCTGAATTTTGATTGTAATTCGGCGACAATATAAGTATTGTTCTACTATTATGATACCACTTTCAGGAGATGAATTTATTTAAAACTAGCTTTTTCCCGCGA